GCAAAATAATTAATTATAATATTTATTAATTTTGAGTTAAGTAATGAAATTATGATACAGTATCACTCTATATTGAAGTTATAGTCTGATATTAATTTATGATCTAAAACAAGTATTGCTAAAATATTTTCATTTGTCCCACTGACTTATGTTATTTGAATTAGTAATAAAAGTACAATTTTACAATTTGGAAACACCAATATATCATAAGCTAGATTATATTTGATACCAGAAACCCCCTCATTCTTAAATATATTATAGCGGAAATGCCTGCTCTGCTCTAAGACAAGTTATCAGAAAAAAATTATAATTGTAGGTCACCGTTCTAATGCACAGTCGTAGTACCTAGTAGATGAGAAAGTCACTGTAATATAAGTTGTTATGGATTTTACAGTTTTACTCAACACAATTAAAATTAAGCGTACGCACCAATTGAATACTAATATAATGTACTTATTTAATATAGAATTGGTAGTTAAAATGTATAAGTACCTATAGCTACAAATTGTTGATCTAACACTTTTAATACTACGACTGACTGACTACCTTGTGTGTTATTTCGAAGTTTCCCCGTGTCACATACCAAATCTCTTATTCAGTGTATCCCACGTCACAGTGTCGTCCGATAAACTCTGTCTTTCGTAATTACAATGAAATTCGATTAAAAATTCGATTAAATATATCGTCGTTGGGCGAGCAATAGGTCGTATCTCAAAAAAGTAAAATGTTCAGTAATATTATTCAGTTGTTCCTAACACCCCCTCAGACTAAACGAGACATGGGGGTCCGATGACCACCCTTTTCACTCTAGTTCAAAGAACCTATCTGTAAAGTTTCGAATTTTCTGTTTTTCTGTTTTGTCAATTTCAGTTTAACGGTAATAATTATAATAAAAAAAAATACAATCAAAAATTAAATTACACTTACGGACATTTCTCCTGCCTCCTCAATTTCGAAATTTGCATCAAAACATTACAAAGGGTTTGTAAGTCTTTTGTAAAGTTTTGTAAAACAAACATTTTCGTTTGTAAAGAAAACCAAAAAAAATTATGCCCAATTCAGGGTGGGGGGACTGGAGAAATGGGTAAAATCCTTGAAATTTGGAAAACCCAATTTTTTTTTGCTCAATCGTTTGTACCGGGATTGTACCGGCGTCGGTGAGCTTCGCAACCGACGCCTTGGTCCGCTTGGCCACTCCGTCGTCCTTTATTTAAGCTATTAATACAAAAAACCTCATAAAACAGCTTATTTAATTATTACACTGTTTGTACCTACCTAGCTGAAGAATATCCTACTGCATCAACATTTTGCAAAAATACGATAGACGAAGAGAGAAAAAAAAATGAAAAAATAAAAAACAAAAAACAAAAAACAAAAAATGAAGATTCGTTATCATTAACTTTTTGACATATCTGGGACATGTAACACCTATATAGTGATGTAGAGGTTTTTTCAGTATTTTTCTAAATTCCAATATATATTTTATATAGTACTAGTACCTAGTAATAAGTAACAATTAATAATTATGAAATTGTAAATCTGTAAAACTATATAAATAATTCGGATTTAATTTTTTCATTGTATCATGTGTCCTATTCAGTCTTATCATAAAACAAAATAATATAAATTCCAATTTCCATGAAATTGATAATAAGCCCTTAACAGATGTATATTGCACATAGTATATATATTGGTTTCCAGGGATACAAGAAAATATTTCATTACCCATGATTTCTTGAAATAACAACAGTTAGTTAGTAAAAAAATTTAGGCTTATATTCTCTTGTACCGGAAGTAATCTCAGAGTCAACATTTATAGAAATTAATTAAATATTTTTTTTTCGTTCATTCAACGCAAGATTGTGTCGAGTTCCTCATTTAAAAATTTACTGAGAAGTCATAATATTATATTATACCCATGTATTATGTTTGTATGTTTTTCTATAAGTTGAAATGTTGAATTACTAATAAATTAATTAATACTAATATAATTTTTTTTGAATATATAATATTATTTAGTTTTTATAGTCTTTGATAAAATTCAATGTTACCGGTGCTAGCTGATCCCGTGCATAATATTAGCGTTATGAACACCATTTATACTATATGTTGTGGTTTTGACTAAATTTAAAATACAGGTCTATAATTTTGTTATATCCAATGATAATAACTATTTTGTTTTCTGTAACCAATAGCAATTGATACATCCTTGGATACTGTGATGAACATGTTTTTTAGCCAACCAAACCTAACCAATGTGTTCATGCTGCTGTCGTTAGCATTTCCGTCACTACATTTATAGCGGCGATAACGCTAGCACGTAAATGGACCAATCTTTTCTCCCCGCTATTCAACCTCTCTTCATGATCCGATCCATACAAAAGTAATTCTAATGTCTTCGCTAAATCAACGTAATCAAAGCCATAATTTATATTTTATATTGTTTCTCCTTTACGCTGTGTCTACATAACATAAAAGAGTTGTTATTATTATTCGTATTCGTATTATTGTTTAGTTCGTGTTCTGGGTACGCTCCCTTTTAGATCAGCTTCCGTTTCGTTTGTATTCGTTAAAGAATACAAAAATTAAAATTATATAAATATTACACTTATCATGATTGTGGTCATCAGTAAAATGACACAAAAATAATTGTATCTTTCTCTGGTTTCGCGGATATTGAGTCTGTAGATCATTTATGTCACTTTCATTATCGACGGGCTCTATCGGCGTCTACGAGACTACAACCGAGACTGGCAAAAATATACCTTGTTTGTGAGAGTACTTAATAAAAGTTGAGTCTATAAAATCGAACGTTCCTCGTCTTTATTTCAAAACCGTGCAATACCTAACATTGGAGCAGTCAAAAATGATTAAGGTAAGTGCTTATTTTAATACAAACTAATTGTACATAAATATTAAAGTAAATTAGCACATATCGAGTTAAAAGTACCTACAATAGGTGTCCTCATCCATCGGTCCCTAATAGTTTCATTCTATGTTTTATTTTAAAAAAATATTAAGAGCTTATTCAATCTAAGGTGGACAATTTTGCAAAATTTGAGAAATTTTAGTGAATCCTTACAGACCAAAACTTGGTTTAGGTTATTTATAGATTTGAAAGTGCAGTTTAGCCAGCGATCAACGTCAATCTCATATCAAGCGTACTTAAATTACTTATATAATAGCAATCAAATTTAAGAGTCACAATGGTCAGCAAATGCATTGGACCAAACCAGGTATAATCACAAGGGTTCAAAAAGGACCTATAAAGAACATGGGCTTTTAGGCGACTAGGCGGATCACGGAGGAAACTTAGGCTTTTTGTATTTCACCAATGTAACAAAGTTAGAAACACTGTAGTTAAGAGCATCAGATAGAGCAAGAGCCGCCTCATTAGCATTTAACTCAGAAATAGTGTCATGCTACTTATAACTTAGCAAAAAAGTTTTAACCTGTAACGTCACTGAATTTTGAGTCCTTTATTATATAACATACGAGCATACCCATTAGTATTATTGCCAACATTTGACATACCTCTATTATAGTACTATTATCAACAGAACAGATATCGCGTGCCGATAACCGCAGCAGTTTTTACCATCTACCACCACACCACTGCCGTTCGGCGCCTCTGTCTCGGCCGCCGGTGTACATGCACATACTTTCTGCTCGAAAAAGAACATTATTGTTAAAATGCCCACACTGACCTGCCCCACTTCAAGACAGCATTCAAAAAAGTTCCAACGACACCACCGGCTAGACTCCGTCGCCACAGATATTTTTTTACTATTTTTCACAACGGCTTACGACCAAGACGTATCCGCTATCGAACAGCCTACGACGTCACTTCTCCGGACTACACATTGACTCATACCCACCGTAAACCACACCATACCTCGTGTTCACATAATTAGTATGAAAATATCCATTGTTTTTGAGGCGCATCATCAAAAAGGCAAGGTTGCCACCAAGTGACCACCATTAAAGCCAAACACATCATCGTCGTCAACGCCATTTCTTCTGTCGTAAATATAATTCAAAAACGGTTCTCCGTGCGTAGTTTTCCGTTCAAAAAACGACATCCGAGTTCTTCATCGCCCTCAAGTATAATCAACACCAACACCCCCATCACTAATAACATCAATGGATACTACCAGAATTGTCGTGGACTTCGTACTAAACTTGTTAATTTCAATTGCAATACTTCATATTTTAACAATGTCTTTATTGCTCTTACGGAAACTTGGCTCATTAATAGTTTTTACTCTTCTGAGCTCGGTCTCAATAATTACAATATATTTAGATGCAACAGGTCTCCTCAAACCAGCTCCTGTAATCGTGATTCGTGGTGGTGGTGTGTTAGTAGCTGTGAGTAGAAATATTGCTTCTTCCCCCCTTGATATACCTAATAATAATGTTGAGCAATTATTTGTCCGCTTCTCTCATAACTCCTTAAATTTTATAATTGACAGTGTTTACATACCACCTTCGTCGCCCATTGAGCTTTATACTACTCATCTAAATACTATTGATTTTATTGTTCAAAAATACCCAAACCATAGTTTTATCCTCACTGGTGATTACAATCTACCATTTATTTCATGGTCAAATGATACACATGGTCTGTGTTTCCTAACTCAAACAATCTCTGAATATACTTCCATTCCTGAAAGACTTACCATCCACGGATTCTTCCAACATAATTAAAAATTAAATTCTCACCACTCTCTTCTCGATCTCATATTCTCTAATCTTAGCTCCATAACCGTTAAACAAGCTCTTGATACAGCCGTGCCTGCCGACACTTACCATCCACCTCTCTCACTCTCTATAAATCTCCCCATTCATGCTCCTCAATCTACTCCCCTCAAATAATTTTATAACTTTAGCAAGGCAGACTACATACAGATCACTAAATTCTTGAACTATTTCAATTGGAAACGTACCTTTCTATCATACTCCCCAGATGATTCCATGTCTGTCTTCCTTGATGCTCTCCATTATTCAATTTTATCTTTTGTTCCTAAAATCTCTTTTCGCCCTTCCACTTTTCCGTCATGGTACACTAAGGAGCTCAAAGAACTAGATTCAAAAGAAATGAAGGTATTTTGAGTTTCAATTTCAAAGCCAAATGCTCTGTTTTCTTTATCTTCTTTATTATATTTTTCATTGGTTTCTTTATATAGTTTATTAATCGCATTAACATTAGTTGGACTTTGGTCACAAATTGTTGATACAGCAGTAAGGCCAGTTGATTGAACAACCTTTATAATATTTTTTAATTTTATTTGACAAATTGGTACTATCCATGGTACCATTTGTTAAACAAAAAGCGATTGGTTGTTTGAACTTTTTGCGTAAACCTCTTATCATAAACACAAGGGCCTTGTCTACAAAATCCACAAAATCCACAAAAATTCATGAATCCAATCACCTTTTCATGTCTATCAATGTATTGTAATAATTCAGACAAAGTTATCCCATTGAAAACAATGGAACAATATCTATCAAGCTTTCTCAATTTTTTAATAGCTAATATAAGGTCATTAATATCAACTTCAAATAGAATTTATCTTTAGTACATCAAGAATAGACTTTCGAGTACTTGCTAGTACTCTATATGCTTTATCACTTTGCTTGTACAAGAATAAAGTAAATACTTTATATTCAATTGTAAATCGGCGACCATGATGTTTTTGAGGTTGCATCCGAATTTGAGATTATAGAAAGTTTTGAGTGTGTTGATTTAATCTGCTCATTGATTTCCCGTAGGCTTTCACGGGAAGTTCACCTTTCAAGATTCGCTGTTCTTCAGTAAGATAACTTTGATTTAGTACCAAAGTACGTCATTTGTATCTTTTAGCAACATGATAAAATAATTTTTCCTAGAAATTAATTAATGTTTAACTTTTGAGACGTTCATTTCTGACAATACACCTTTTACTTCATTTGAAATGTCATGTGTGTTGAGTGATTCTTAATGACGATTAGGTGTTTGCAAAAGTTATGTCATCAGTTGGAGTAATGTTCATGTCAATTGTTGAGTTTAACAACTCCAGACACTGTTTAATTTACATGTCAATGACGTTGCAAGAAACTGAAACAAAAAAATAAAATAAAATATTTGTACTTGAGTATTATTACTCAAACCAGTGAAACCTAACTAATAATTCATTCTTAACACAAAATTTGTATCAGCTTGATATGCATATTAAGTATGATATGCATGTTAAAATAATATAACATGTCAAGAAGTAAAAAAAATAATAGATACCGATACCTTATCATCGATACATTATTATAAAAGGTTTGTGTTATTACCATAAGAACAATTCATATCAATAGATATGTCCATAGAAGTAAATGTCGATGGCTCAGTATAAATGTATGATACTCAACTTTAGTGTTATAAATGTTGCAAGCAACTAAAAATATTTATTTAATTAATTATTAGTTAATACGTATCTACCCTTTTAAGTACTATCTTTTATAGTATACACAGCAAAAACATACAATTTTATGTTACAGCCTATTAACTACAAAAAAAATTGGTGTTTTGTAACACTCAATTAATATTTTACTAAATATTTAACTATTAAGCAAGAATTATTGCATGCGCATTATTTCAATATTTTCAATAACATGTTCAATAATTTTGTTTTTATACTTATACATTTCAATATACATGTATTATTTTTAAGTATTGGTTTCCTTATTATTGTTAAAGAAAATATATTAAAACTATTTATGAACCATTATGTCGACATAAACAAAATAACTATCAAAAATATTTTTATTGTAGTTTATCACCATTTATGGTTGGTCAAGATTATAATACATCCTGGACTATTAATAATAACTATATAAGTATTTTGGAAGAAAGTTTGATGAAAGTTATTAATTATTATGAGGATGAAATCAAATCAGAAATCGCACATCCTGGTAAAGTATATTAAGGGAATGGAATGAGAAAACTATTTTTATAAGAGTCAAAAATCGTCTAATAATATAAGGTTAAGTTAGGTTAGGTCAGTGGCGTAGCCAATGGGGAGGGGCAATGGGCCATGCCCTCACCCCCCCCCCCCCAATTAGCCATATTATTTTGAGTGATGGACGTTTAGACACATCGTACATGAAACTAAAAGTCAACACGTTTGGGTACAAATAGACACAACGTTTGAACACATCGACTAAAAGGTATTTTTTAATTTCAACGTTTTGGGGAAACATAATACATAAACACGGGTACAACCATGGATCTTATATAAGCACTGAGGGCTTTTCAAGAGCCACAAAGGTCTGTGGTTGACGTTCAGTGGTTTTACCCGCTGACCGCCCACCGTTCGCTAGAATGGACGACACATAGACAGTGGCCGCTTCCCGTCTATCGTATCACGGCCGTAACTCCGCCGAAGCGAGGCTCCGGCCGCCCACCGGCTACGGTTACACCAGCTTTACAAGCCAATTCCACATGCCCGCACGAAGCCGACTCCAAGGCAACCAACATTTCTGTTGATCGTGCAAGCCGCTTAGTGAGGAGGACGACAGACCTTGCTCTTCCACGCCCTGGGCTAACCTGACACCCGTGCTACCATTCATATTACGTCGTAATGGTAGGACATATTTTAGGACTGCATTCATCTACCTACTCAAGGAGCTCTGGACACTTCACTAGAAGCGGCAGTCAAAACTCCCCTAATAGTCCTAGGAGCAAAAGGGCTGACGACTAAAACTGGGACGCTTGGCCCGCTGACAGAATGCACCGACACCCGTACGCCAGAATTCTGAAGGAACCACGCCCAGATTCGGTTGCCCTGCACGCGACCGTGTCACAGGCCAGGGGCCACCAGAATGAACCATGGATCATTTACTTATTGCTGTCCACGGAATTGTATTAGTTATTCAGAGGCGACCCATCCAATCCGAACATAGGGGAAACGAGTTTCCCCTATCCGCAACCCGGAGACGCGATCTAATCCGCATAGCTACAGCTGCTACTCCCACAGCTAAAGGCTAGCTATGGTGTCGCTAATAATACATATACAATATTTGAAAATATATCTGCTATATCACACCTGTAGGTATCAATAATATAATATATATGACTACAGATTTCTTTATTCATTCAATCACTCTATACTCAGTAATAAAAAGTGCATTATACTTGGTAATTTTAAATTTAGTGAATTTAGAATAAACAAAGATGAGCGCAACATTTTTTGTTGTACCAAATAACGTAACTGTAACTGTTCGACACCCACACACACGTACACAGCTGGTTTATCACTGTATGATACTGTCCGAGTCATCCGTGCATAATTATATAATAGGTAGATAAGATAAGCCGGAGATACGCCACCGACGAGCCGGTACACTTAAAATAAATTAACGCAGCCGCCGTTTTCCCACTAGTTAGTTGCTAAAAACCATATTTTACTTGAGCGAATAGCCGTAAATTATAAATTATATTGTGAGTCGCGAATCGCCGTATATTGTATCATTACTAACCGTAAATCGCCATTGCTTGTTTTACATTATTATTAATTCGTAAGAAGTGAATCGCCAGTATATTATAAATATTTTTTTTGGTCGGTGCTAATTACCGAGTATATTATTATTAGTGTTTGATAATTTCAAGGAAATTTAAAATTTTGAAATATTTCAAACTAGTGAAAAAATTCAGTAATTTAATAAATTTTGTTTTATTTTTAAAAAATTTTTGTCATAAATTACCTTCATAATTGTATGGTACCTATATGTATACCTAACCATTGGTATTATACATTTAAAATGATATTCAACATTTTTGAATATTTTAATGTTTAAATGATACAAGTTGGTATACAATATTGTACATATATATATTGTATACGTACTGAATTCTTACATTAGAATTTAGAACACTGAACATTGTGTAAAAAAAATTTTAAAAATGTGTTTTTATTTGTGTTAAAAAAAATGTCGATGTCTCAAGTTTTTGTGAAATATTCCACATGAAATATTTTATACTTCAAACACTATTTATTATTATTGTGAGCCATAAAGGACAACCTATATATATTATTCAAATTTTTGCCTATCTAATCTTAGCAAACACCAGGCGCGGATCCAGAGGGTGGGCCGGGTGGGCCCGGGCCCACCCAAACATTTCAAGAATAATAATTTTAATTTTCAATATTGGCATTCAAGTTGTTATTTTAGAATTTTGACTATAAGTTTTAAAAGTGATTTTATCAAATATATTATAAATGTATTAATTGTGCATGGGGAGTATAACAAAACAACATTATATCTAGGTACCATTTATAATAAGTTATTATTAATAACATGTAATTGCCCGTGTGATTAACCTGATTTTATCTTAATATCGATCGTCGTTGTTCGAATGCCGATGGAACTCCGATAAGATATAATACTTTGAAATAATTGACAATATGGTCATGGAAATGAACCGAAGATTTAAGCAAACAGAACTAATTGAAGCAGTGGAAGCCTGTAATCCAAGCTCCAAAATGTTTTTAGACTTTGACACACTTATAAAATTGCCTGGAATTTCTACAGATAATCAATTTATTGAAAAGTTGAGAGCACAATGTGATTTAGGAAAAAAGTGTTTGCTGCAGATTCAAATTCTATAGAAGCCTATTTATCAATTAAAAGCATGGGAGCATCATTCTTACAGCTAGAAGAATTTTACAGACGAATTTTAGTTATTCCAATTTCAAGTGCTACAGCTGAAAGGAGTTTTTCTACAATGAGGAGAATTAAAACGTATAATAGATCGACCATGACCGGAAAACGTTTATACAACCTAGCTCTGCTATCGATTGAACGAGAAAAAAGTGAAGAGTTAATACAAAATCCAGACGAAATTTTAAATGAATTTGCTAGTAATAAGTTAAGAAGGTTAAATTTTTCCATGTAACTGTATTTCAATATATTTTTTTTTTAACTTTTATTATATTTATAACTAAATGAAAATTATTCTTTATTAAATCTTAATTTTACTGCATTATCTTATGTGGTTAAATTTACGGGCCCGCCCAAAAAAATATTCCTGGATCCACGCCTGGCAAACACCCCTTGTTTGCCTCAGAAATTCAGAGAGAAGACGCTGTGAAATAACTGGGATTACGCTGGAAACCTGTTGAAGATGAATTCCGATTTTACGGTGTTATGAAGGGCCAATAAAATTAGAGCTACCAAGCGTATCATTCTATCTGCCCTGAATAAGGTATTCGATCCATTAGGCTCTCTAGCACCTGTTCTAATAAAAAAGAAGATATTCATCCATCAAATATCGCAACTCAAGATAAGCTGGGACTGCGTTCTGCCTGAGGATATACAAGACAGACGGAATGGTTACTACACCACACTTGGAGACCTACGCCATGGGTCAATCCCTAGATGCACGTCCGTAACACCTAGAAGTCTAATTGAAATTCACGGTTTCTGTGACGCTTCCCAGGAAGCTTACGGTGCTTGTGTTTACATACGGTCAAAAGATCAAACCAATAAGTTTAAAT